ATCAATTGCTATTTATTCAGGACAAAAAACACTCCGACCTCGTTCACAGTGCTCCGTTGTTGAGTCACAGACAGGATTTGCCCTACCATGCACAGATAAGCAAATATTACCTAGTGGTATGGCCGGAAATTGAATGGTCTTCGGCACCAGGCGCGATGCGATAGGTCGGGAGCTCAACGCCACGTGGGGACGTTTTCCCCCTGCGCGAACTCCCTTATTTTCAATAGCCTCTCATTAACTAATTATGGATTTGGAAGGACGAACTTCTTAATGTACAGCAGTAGGCAGAATTTGCCGGTTATGACTGCAATCTGAAATGACAGATTGCCACCGGTAGCGCGGAGCATGAATGGCTTGTAAAACGTTCCAGCCAAGATATGTTGGATGGCACTCCAGAGAGGTTTCTATGTGTCCTAAAAACCAGCCAAGCAAAATTGAGCGTTCCAGCTTCAACAACCAACAGGTGCCACTCTGAGAACAGCGACTTACGAGTCCTTCAATCCACTGATGGTGCGTTGATAAGAGTAAGAAGTCAAATCGAGATGACCTGCTAAAAGGGTAAGCCAACTCCCCAGGCGTCAGCTTCGCCAAAGTTTCTCTTATAGTACAGTTGCTAGAGTTTGCACTGTTATGGCTGGTCTAGAGGGGGATCAATCATTCAAGCATCGAAAGTGTCCGAGTGCGGTCTGGTAGGTTAGTCAGACAGAATATTCAGCAAGCGACGGAGACTGAGGGAATTTTTAATTAGCCACTGCCCCTAATTAGCTCCAGTAGTCTTGGTTATATCTTGCCAGTAGGACAGGGTATGTGTGGAAGAGGTTGCACTTTTCGCTGCGCAAGACACAACTGAACCCCGGACTGGCGGTTTTCGTCATGTCCGATGAAATATCGGTAATGAAACCGGCATCGTTCGCCCCAAAGAGGTATGCCGATCATCGTGACGCGGCATATAGATGATCCTGTTTTGCACTGGGACACACGTTTAGGGTCGTCACGGTCGGTTGTGTATCGCCAAAATATTCGGCAAACTTGAGGAGTGACCGACTTGGACCTTGGCAGTTCTAAAACAAGCTCTTTAGTCTCGCAACCCGACCAGTTAGGCCTCCCTACAATATTAGGTTTAATATCTTCTATTCAGGCCTATAAGACGTAGTCTGGTGGATCGGGTGGAGAACGATTACCTTGAGAGTTCATTAACCTACCGACCGAGGCTCCGAGCTGATGCCTACCCGGCATGTAATATGACTGGTTTATGACGGCATCTAAACCAACTTGGGCACTATTTCCCTTCTCTTCATCAATCACACTTACAGATGATTAACATCGAGTGGCATGTCTGAGAGCATCAGTGAACGAGGGGCAAGCAATCAGAAGTGGTCCTTCCTGATTAAATATACATCAACGCTAGGTTCGAAGCTCACAACCGGGGAGATGGCAATAGATGTAGGCATTCACCATGGCGGAAATAAGGCTTTTCTTCAAAAAGGTCACACTATTTACCTTATAAGATGTAAGCAGTTCTAAACAAAAACGATAGACTGTGCAACGGGGTCCGACGACAGTGACATGCACTTCAACCGAACTCGAAATACATTACTTGCTTCCTAGCCCTGAGCACTCATATGCTGATGCTGACGACGGCGTATAAGACAGAAACCGTCTCTCTGTAGGTTTGGCTTTGTCGCTAAACATTTTTGTCAGGTAACCGCGCAGCATACCTTTTTTAAAAACTTGATGGTTAGATTAACATGCTGCACTGGCAAAATAAGCTGGAATTCTGAGCGCGTCTTGATAGAGCGTCTGTTTTAGGTAGATGCATAAAGTTAACTATCACTGGTTTCCTTGTGAAAATTACGCGCGGTATTTGTTATATCAAATAGGGCCCAACTTCATCTTAACAAAAGCATATTTTTTTAAAGTAGTATTAAATCGGCCTGAGTTGATAAAAATGTTCGGGGGGCAAGTTGGGATAAACGTGTGTACAGAGAGAAAAGTGGTTTCACTTGGCCCTGGGAGTGTTCAATCCGTATTTCGCCTTCAAGTGGTCCAGTGTTTCGCGTTTCTTATCCGTGTCAACCTTCTTGAATTGCTAAAATAGGGAAGCAAAGACAAAATGAAAGAGACAGTCCAAAACACGTAGACTCTTTCCTCTTCAGCCCAAGGGGTCCATGTTAAACCGCAGATGTAACAAACAATAAGCGGGGAAGGGGAACATGCTTCGCATTTGATCTGTTATAAATCTCAGGCATGGTTAGAACTGTCAAAAAAGCAGGAGACTGTAATCATTTAGCAAAAATGATAGTAATTTGCTCAAGTATTCAGGATTGCATTTCATAATTACCACACAGCCTACCTTGTTCTTCTGATAGTAGAGTACAACGAGATATCGATTACAGACGTTGAAACCACTGAGATGATCACAGGCGTTTTTCGCGTCAAAGATGTCCTCATACACAACCAAAGCAGTGCCCTTTGTCTCAGGTGTGTTGCCGACCCGGATCTGTCGAATGGCACCATACTTGCCAAATATGTCGTACATTTCCTCTGCCGAGATGTTGTAGGGCAAATTTTTCACTAGGAGGACTCTGTTCACTTCCGGCGGAAGTCGTGTCTTTCAGAAAAAAGCAAATGGCTCATTAAAGTAATACCAAAGAAATAATCAAACATAAATATGAAGTTTGCGTAGACAAAAGGTGTGACAGTCAGCTACTCAAATAAGTAGAATTCATTTGCTTAATATGGACTAGGAAATATCAGGAGGTTCACAAAATTGAAAGACTTTTCGCCGGGCACCGACATCGCTAAATCATACGAATTCACACTGATGACTTACTGTTCAAGTACAACAACGCACCTCTAGATAATACGAGGTATCAATATTCTACTTACACTCGACCTGCAAAGCGAGCATTATTTAGTCCTGCAAGCGTTTTCTTTAGCTTACTCGATAAATTTCGTAAACAGAAGATAGACGATCCTACATACTAAACTGTATGTGGTATTGAGATCCGATAAATGTCGGTATTGTTTCAATACAGGCTCCGGGAAATAAAGGAGCCCACATGGTCGGCAATTCAACTCTATCTGGTGATGAAAATTCTATAGATTTTTCAGTTTCCCTGTATTCACTATCCTGTATTGAGATAGAAACTTGAACAATTGAACATCGACCCAATGAGAATGGTCCAAAGCAGTGAGGGGACTCATGCTCTCTGCATCCTTTCAAAAAATGTTTGTCAGCATCGGGGGATATATGCAAACATTAAGTCAAGTAACTACTAAAGCCATCATATCTCATCATAATCGTTAGTTTTTTGCTCACCGATCGCGTTAAGGGACATATTCTCCCCGTTGTGTCTGGGGGCTCACTCTTAAGCCCCATCAGCAGTCACATGGCGACTAGTATAGTATATATTGCATTATCAAAAAAGACAACGGAGACTGGAATGGCCACTCCTAGCTAATTAGTTGTCATCAGCCAACCATACCGCACCCCGGATGTTGCAACACCCGAGGAT